TCTCTCTCTCTTTCTCTTTTCTCTCTCTCTCCCTCTATCATTCCCTGTCCCAGCTCCACCAATCATTCATTTGTCCTTCCAGATTTAAATGAAAGGATGTTTGGTCAGATTTGTCATGCAAATTAAGGGTGGAGCATCTGTCTCACACACACACACAAACACACACACACACACACACACAGACACACGTAAAGGCAAACACACATACAGATGAGACTTGACATGTTGGCATGGAAACCAATTAGTGTCTGTGAGGACTCTGCATGTCTCTGCATTGTGAATGTGTATGTGAGCTGTCACAGCTGCAGCACTGTCGTGTATGTGTGTGTGTGTGTGTGAGAAATGAAAGAGAAGAAGAACTAATATATTATTATTAAAGGTGATTTATTGTCTCTGATAGCTGAAAATGGGTTTGCAGATTAGAGAAACATATTGCAGGAGTTTTCAGAGCTGTAATTCTGCTGTAATTAAACAGAGTGTGTGTGGAAATGATCGCTGTTGGATCCATGCGCTCCTCATTTTGGGGGCTCTCGGTGTCTGTCAGCCTTCCACAACAGCTAAATAATGACATGCTAATGAAGATCCTTTTATTCCTCCACACACTCAGAGTTAATGAGGAGCTCAACAATTAATGAGCCAATGCCTATTTTTTTCTCTCAAAAAAGAACTCAAATACCCATAAGTCAATGGGGGGCAAAAAAGGAGCACAGCTGCTTGAAGAGACAAATTGGGCAATTACAAATGATCTACAGGTCTGCAAGCCGAGCTGCTGATAGGACTCTGAGAAAATTATATAGCTATGTGCCTCATTCCAGCTCTTGTTTCTGCAATCATACAACGACATGTGGAGTAAAGTTTGAATTAGAGTAAGAAACGATGATGGCAGACTGAGTGTAGACAGTATGCTTGTTAGTAAAGCAGGTGTAAGGTCAGAAGAATGCTATTACTGCACCTGTCAGTATTACTATCACTGTTGCATTTAAACTGGAAGGCTCCAAATCAAAAATGAAGTGGACCCTACTGACCTCTATTGTTCCTTCTCCTCTGCTCCTACAGTTGGGACGACAGCAGCTCAGTGAGCAGCGGCCTCAGCGACACATTGGACAACATCAGCACTGATGATCTGAACACACCCGCCTATTCTGCTGTCAGCTCGTCACGCAAAAGCAAGGGAGCACAGGTAAACACTCGCCATTTAGTACGCCGTAGTGTAGTTCGTTTATAGACAATCATTAGCTTTTTACTTTAAGCGATCACATTTATGCTTCAGAAATCATAATAGAGGTTTTCATTTGTGAAAGTTATCTTGCTGAATAAAACATGTAGGTATCATAAAACTGTTCGCCACAGAGCTTATTTTCTGCAATAATCCAAAATCCAATGGAAAAATCCCATTAGCTTTTTGTCCAGGGAACCAGGGTGCCACCTTCCGGGTTGGCCTACAAAAAGACATCATCCCTGCATCACACTGCATCACAGATGTTAGCATGCTAACATGCTAAACTAAGATGGTGAATATGGTAAACATTTTACATGCTAAACATCAGTATGTCAGCATTGTAATTGTGAGCATGTTGCAATGCTAGCGGTAGCATTTAGCTCAAAGTGCCACTGTGTCCTAGTACAGCTCAGTCTTGTTGCCTGTACAGCATATTTTAGGTGGAGTTATTCAGTACCCATTGTACAGTGATTACCTTTCAAAACCCGAACTTATTTTCTGGCATATTTATTTTACTTAAAAGAGCTCTCCAATCTTTTTACACAGGAAGTTCAGTTTACTTATCACCATGACTTCTAGTCTGCTTTTGTGTTGTTTTCTGTGGCTCAACAGGGAGCTTTCCAGAGTTGAAAATATAACTCTGATGATGTCAATAGAATTGTCTCAGTTTTGGCTTGAAACTCTTGAGATTACAAACAAAAAGTGGACGTCATGGCAGGGAGGGTTTAATGAGTTGCATAATAGAAGGGGAAAATAGGTAGGGTTTTGTAGTTGTTGTTGACCCATACTAGGGAATAAGGTCAGGTCATCTCAGATTATGACCATTCTTTATTTAATCTGTCGCTTGTGAATCTCTCAACTTTATAGAAGTGCAATACTACCACTTTAACATGGAGAAACAAATTGGAATGCAGATGCTGGACTAGAAACTGGTTCTTCAAATGCAGAGTTATAAGCACACTGGTTTAGCATGAAATCAGGGCCAGTCTGTATGTGAGTTCTGAAATCACAGCTGAGAGAATTAACCACAGACTGAAGGCCACTGCTCAGCTCTCATCACAAGTTTCCGCTGTATTCTGCCAAGTATCTTTGGCCCCTGATGAAATACTCAACAGACTGGGCTCTTAAGAGACTCTGGTGTTGCTAGGGAGACTGGCCATCTGTCAAGGTAGGCTAGTTATCACTGCTGTGGGTGTGGGTGTGTGTTTGTGGGTGTGTTTGTATGCGTCCCAAAAGAGGAGATCTGGACATGGGTGATTCCAAAGATAGCTACTGCTTCACACACACACGCCCTGCTGCTCTGTTTGTGCAGGGACTCATATCTTTTTATGTTGGCTATGTGTGTTTAAATAACGCTTCATAAAAGATCATACCAGAGCTCTAAACTACTATTATATACCAATATTTTCACTAGTTATTTTGAGTATGCCAAGGAAGACATTTAAATTGCTTAAAATTGGTTATTATTGTGAATTTTTGTGCCCATACTTTTTTACTGTTAAGACACATTATGTGGTACTAAAGTGGTAAGCAGGTACCCCACACTGGTGCGTTTAAGGACACTGCAAGAGATTTTAGGAAACCACAGATTTCATTATTTTACTGTAACATCTATGAATATGTTCTATGCTTTCTTTGACACCCACCACCACCACCACCCTGCAGTCCCAGAGAGGAAGCAGGTCCAAGCATGCAGAGCAGGAGGTGAGCAGCAGCTGGGCCGGAGCCGAGGACCTGAAGAAGGTGGAGGAGGAGCTGGACGCAAGCATGGACCCCAGCAGCGGCTCCTCCCGTTGGAAGCCTTCCTCATCCTCCTCCTCTTCCACTCAAGCCCAGGGCCAGTACGAGGAGGCCGGTCAGAAGGCTGCTGCGTTGGCCCAGATGTCCCAGACGGGCTCATGGAGGAGGGGCATGACGGCCCAGGTGGGCATCACACCACCCAGGTCCAAGGGTACCTCTGCTGCCCTCAAAACACCAGGTAGGAGATGCAAATGAAGTACATTATGACGCTCAGTGTGAGGAGGGGTTTACTGGGTTGTCCCCAAACTGTGTTTATTTGACACAAGCCAGTGGCACTTTGAAAATAGGCAAAAATTTGCAACATATGGAAAAAAGCAGTTTTTTTTTTCAAATGTGTACTACAGGTTAGATGCAGACACAAACATATCCACAGCCACAAAGTCCAGAAACAGAATTGGGTTCGATCTTAAATAGGGGACCCTTAATAAATTGTACAATATGTTTGCAAAAGCAAGGCTGAGGTAACGTTAGTAGCAGCTCAGCAATGCAGCCCTTCAGACAGTCCTTTGTCTGTCACACAGCGTTGGAGAAAACTGGATTTTTACAGGTGAGAACTCCAATATTCTATGAGGTTATCTTTTCCAGCTGTGCTTATTTTATTACAGATCCAAGTGGTGTCAAAATTGGCTTAGTGATAAAAGAAAAGTTCAAAAGTTTCCTTTTCAATCAACTATGGTGCTGAAAGAGAACGCTTTATGTACAAACATCTATGTGTTTACCTTAAAAAAGGGTAAGTTGTGGTGCCTTTGAACTTGTTTTCCTTTCAGAATTTTTTTAAAGTTAACTTTAAAGTTAGTCTATTTAAAACCATATCAAAGTTCATCAGTGTGCATCTGACTACATCAACCACCAACTGTTGCAGAGCACTTAACCCAGCAACTTAGAAAACTAAACTCTCTCCACAGATGCCAACAGATGTTTACCATTTTTACCAACTCTATAATGACTCACCACAAGTATAATTCATTAAGATGACCTTCTAATGGACATTTCTCACAGCAGACATTTCATATACCATGATAGGGAACATCACAGGTATCATAAACATTAATGGTAGCTCTGTTCTTTTAAGTATCCCAGTAAGACATGACAGTGTGACTGTGACTCAGCATTCGCTCATGATCCTGAAACTGAAGCAGCTAAATGGAGTTCAGCCATCATTCATTCTATTATTTTAACCTGTACCTTTACTCCTATGGCATATCAAAATCTCTAAAGTGAAAAAAGTTTGTAATGTGCTTCACTTTTATACTAATATTGATTTTGGTAGATGTTTTGGAATGGAGAGTTATGAGTTGCAGCAAATGTGTTGCCTCTACCCAAAAACTGATGATTTGATGATTCTTTTCCCTGATACCTGAGCTTGGAGACTTTGCAGTTGTTCTTAAATTTTCAGTTCACTCAGCAAGTTTATCAGCTTTGTTGCAGATAGGTATTGGTTTTCGATGCAGCTGGCTGTTGGCCAAAATGTACACTAATTTGGCTTTTCCTGCTTTGTGGCACCACGGGTGATAAAAGGAGCACTGGGCCGTGAATCTGCTGAGGGTAATGTTTTTGTATTTGTGCTAATAAGTGTTTATGCAAATTGACAGGCAAAACTGATGATGCTAAGGCCTCAGAGAAGGGCAAGGCGCCTTCTAAAAGTTCAGCTGGCATCCAGCGCTCACCCTCAGATGCTGGGAAGAGTAGTGGAGACGAAGGTAAGAAACCTCCCTCCGGCATTGCACGCCCACCAACCACTGGTTCATTTGGATACAAGAAGATCCCAGGTCCCACTGGTACCCTAATCACCTCCAGTGGTGCAACGCTCACCAGCGGCTCAGCCACCCTGGGCAAGGCGCCCAAATCCTCAGCTGCCCTTGGCAAAGGCGCAGGCATTGGCGGTGTGCGTAAGACCAGCCTGGATGGCTCACAGCCGCAAGATGATGGCATTCTACTCAGCTGCAGTGGCTCCAAAGTGACCCTGCAGTACCGGTCCTTACCCAGACCAGCCAAATCCTCCAGTGGGGTGGCAGCGGGGCGCAGCGGGCATCGCTCCAGCTCTAGCAGCATCGACTCGAACGTCAGTGGCAAGTCGGCCGGAGGGGCAGCGACGCAAGCGGGCGCCAAACGCAGAGACGGGAAAATGGGCTCAGACCGCTCCAGTCCCATCACCATTAACCAGACAGACAAGGAGAAAGTGGCAGTGTCAGACCAGGACCCAGCAGCAGGGCTATCCACCTCCCCCAAATCCAGCCCCACCTCCAGTTCAACAGGTCAATCAGGCCTCAGGCAGCCGGGCTCCAAGTACCCCGACATTGCTTCTCCTACGTTCCGCAGGTCAGACACACAAAACACGCCTACAGCTTCTGTTCTGTCTTTGTCCCTCGCCATATGTGTTTCTACGTGGATCAAGCATTTCATCACATACTTTTTCAGTCCCTTGATTATCAGCAGTGAGGGATGTTATTTTGCAATATAAGTTTAGGTCTTAGTTTCAGACAATGTCATCGACACATCTATTTCAGATTTTAAGGGTGTTTTCATTCATTACGACAAACTCATGTTTGTGGTGCTCAGCGATGTTTTCCTGATGCAGGCTGTTCCCCAGGCTTCTGTAACAGATAGGGCTATTTATTGAAGATGTCATCTGTAGTGGTATAGTCACACCATGGCTAAAAAATACTCTGTCATCGCTATCAATTTTAGATATGTTTGGATGCGCAGAATGAATATAAGACACTTAATAAATCACATTTCAGCACCTTCATGGAAAAATTGATTAAGTGAGTTTACTTGGCTGCACAGCCAAGGGGTGCCATTACATAGATTGTTCCCTGGTGTAGGTGATAAGCCACTGCAGATGAAACATATCTTTACCCTCCAAGATGAAGGTCTGATGGCTTTTCATTCAGGTCAGCAAATCCAACTTAGCCGTCTTGATCAGAACAGACAGGAGACAGGAGTTTCTCTGCACGCCAATCCCTGACTCATTAGAAGCATGCGTTCAGCAGGCGTGTCCAAATATCCGTCCCATCCGATCTGTCAAGCCAACCCGTTTCATCTGCATGTCTTCAAGCTTTTTTTCGTTTTTTTCCCTCAAGAGAGCATCACCTATATATTTTATGTGGTTGAGATGACAGACTGGGACAGGCGCAGTATGAGTAGCAGACTGTCTGAGCATATGTGGGAGGCAAACAGAGTTGAGTGGCCTAACAGATTAGGTTATTTAAAGTCACAGGGTTGAAACGGGCAAAGCTGTGAAAGCAGATGTGTCGATGTAAATTACTGAGAGTTCACAGCTGAAATGAGGTGAAGTTTGCTGCGAGGGATGAACGTGTTAGGAAGTGTGCTCAGTATTTTCTCTGTAGTTTCACGTTGGTGCTACAATGAAGATGTGGGGATTTTTTTCACTCTACTGAGTTTCTTGATGCATGTGAGCAATGCATTAATACAATTTCCTATGTAATATACATTAGATAACCTCAATGTAATCCACCCCAAAGAATACCAAATTCCTCTATTTCCAGTATGGATCTTGCAGATGCTCATCACTCGTCCTTTGAGCATTTCTAAATGACTGCACCCCCCTCTCTACCCCCAGATTGTTTGGCACCAAAGCCAGCAGCAAGGCCAGCTCTCCGGGCACGCCCGACTCTGGCAAGTGCCCCTCAATACTGGGCAGCCCCCACGGCACGCTGGCGAGGCAGGCCAGTCTGGACTCACCCTCCTCTGGCACGGGGAGCCTGGGCAGCGCTGGCGGCCTGAGCGGTGGCAGCAGCCCACTGTACGGCAAAACCCCAGACCTGTGCACTGACTCCCCGGCCTCCAGCCCGGCCTCTGGCCTCTCCCTGCCCTCCAACGCTCGGCCTTGGCCTGCCTGTAGCTCGTCAGCCGGCAGCAAGGACACACTGAGCTGCCAAAGCATGACCAGTCTGCACACCAGCTCTGAGTCCATTGATCTGCCGCTGGGCCACCACGGGCCCAAGGTCACACGAACCGGCAGTGTCAAGTCCACCCTGTCTGAGGGGTGAGTAACAGGGAATACGATTGTGCTGAATCGTATTCATTGTTTCATTTGAGAACAGAGACAAAAAGTGTATCTCCCTACCCTAAGATATAGAAACACAATGCAGAGCAAGCCTAAGTAATAATAATAATATGAAGAATGATACTAATAATAAGAACTTCACTCATCCAGAACACAGTTTAGTTGGATTTAAGTTTAGTTTTTCTGGTGTGGTTTTGAAATGTTAAAATAATAATCCAAAATCTAAATTCAGAACATACTGTGTTTATGTAGTTCAGTTTGGTGAGGACACACGTGAAGCAGTCCCAATGGCAGTTTCCCCTTATTATATCACAGAATAGCTAATGACTAACCCTTTTACTACTCACTGACCTAACTGACCTGCCATCTTTTCCACTGTTTATTGCATTGACCAGTTACCAATCTTAGTGTAATATTAGTTGTGGGTCCAAAGTCACGCCAGAAAAAGTCCCACAATAAATTTTGATCATTTCAGACGCTCATTCCCATGAGAAGTCTTTATTAGGGTGTTTCCATTGTTTTGTCCACACACTGTGCATGCAATACATCACAGATCTATAGAATAAAAAGGGCTCACGTTTATTTTCCCTTACTAGTTTAGCTGTATGTCTCAAAAAATGAAACAATTGATTTAAATATTGGTTGTGTTTTATATTTGTTGTACTGTGATACATTAGTAATGTCTTTGTTTTCTCCATTGTGCGTGTCTTTGCCTATGTGTGTGTCAAAAATCAAGTTTGTAAAATGTGACCAAAGTCTTTTACTCGTGTCACAGAAACAAAATGTTTTCTAGTGTTCATCTAATTCACTCATCCTCTGTGTTTTAACAGCATGCCTCTTGACAGAAACACGCTTCCCAAAAAGGGACTGAGGTACAACACATTTGCAGCCAGATCCCATTCTCAACTGTTATTTTATTCTCTCACATATATATTTGCATGAAAATAATCATTCTGATGTCAAGTGTACTTTCCATGTTGTACATGTGGCATGGTGTTGCACCAGATATAGCAGTGATTCCCAACCAGGGGTACCTGTACCCTGCAGCTGCTTGAGTATATGTGGAAAGATGAGGAAGCTCAACACATTTTTAAAAAACTGAATAAAACATATATCCACATATTGAGTAAATTATAACACTTATTGTAGTTACAACTAACTAGTTAGCAGACAGGCAGAGAAGTTGAGCCCAGTTAAACCTGTTATCTTAAAGGAATGGATAAACAGTTAAAATAGTTATCTTAAAGTAATGGTAATGGATAAACAGTTGAAACTGTTAGCTAAAAGATATCTAGCTCTCTTCTTGCTTTGGTCAAAAACTTGCACCAAATGGATGTAATGTAATGGATTTAACAGTTAAGACAGTTAGCTTTAAGTAATCAATAAATGGTTGACATAAGCAGACGTTAATGAAAAGGCACTTCACTGACAAAACAGGTTGGGAACCACTGATCTATAGACAGCAAATGTTGTGATGATCTCATGCAGCATTCACACTGCAGGACCAAATATTTGTCCAACTATCTGTGGGTTGAGATTTTTTGGTAGAATGCAATACATGAAAAGAAAAGAAATACAAAATACATTCTCATCTGTTATCTTGTATTTTCCAACACATTTTGGTTACTTTATGTACCAGTAGTAGTGTTTGACCTAGCTGAGATGTCTTCCCCAACCCTAATGAAGTCACAATTTTTTCAATCTTTTACCTATTGTTTTACCTGCACAAAATGAGTCTTTCATGCCTTTGGATCTGATTTTGTATGACAGATCCTGAAGTCAAGATTAGATTATAACTGTGTTTAAGTGAGGCAAAACATTTTGATGCAGTATGAATGCTGCCTCAGATGATCAGGCAGGAATGCGCTTGTCCGTCTGTTTGCATGTCTGCTGCTCTTTGTGCCTCCTCATCAGATTCTCATCTCATGCACTGTTAGAAATGCGGCAAACACAGCCGCCGTGACAGAGCAGTTCCTCCTCAGCTCCGCAAAATGGTCTAAACCTCCTGATAACATTTGTTCTGTTAGCTGAGGGGGAGAAGTAGAATGGATACTTTGAATGTAGTTGGGACTAAAGGGACTGAGACAGAAATACCATAACCCATTCATCACAGTGGCAAGGCCTCTGCAGGGAACAACCTCTCAAGCAAATTATACAGTACTGCTGCAGAGAGGGGCATGCTGGTTTCAAACTATTCTTTCATTTCCATGGCATATGGTGCTCATGCTCTTCTGGGCCTAAAAGCATCTGATCTTATACCACACTTTATGCCTGTTGGATGTGATGTTCAGTGCAGACTGCAGTGTTTTCTTCTCAACAGATTTTTCTGACCACAAATTTTTACAGCCATCTTTTCACATCTTAAAGTAGGCAGCATTTTTGCCTGATCTTTAGATTTCCTACAAGACTAATAATTGCCCCCTTTAGTCATACAAATCAGCATGTTGGTCCAGCTTATGGGAATTTTGTAAGCACTTAGTATACAGAGTCAAACATTGACCCTTGGATATTTCGGTCTGTTCCATTTCAACTCTGGTGAGGGAGGAGTGCCGCTGTATCGCACCATTCAACACACTCTTAGGCACCCAATCCCTGGTGGAGAGAATACGAAACACAGGCGTGGGGGGACTGGAGTGGGGTCAGATGTGACAAGCGTAGTAATGGGAGTGTTGGAAGGAAGACGGCCACTGAAAAGGGATGAGCGCAAACTCAATTATCATCCTCAGAGGATTAAATATGGCCGATTGTCATGCCCGCGATAAGGGGGCCTTCTGTTGCTGAGCCACTTTGGAGCTGGGGAGAGAAGAGATGAACAGCAGTGTCAGTGTGTTTGGCAGCTTTGAGCCAAAGCAGTGTGTGTGTATATGACTGTATGTGTGTAGATGCGTGCATGTGAGGCTGCATGTTTGTTTTTTTTTACCATTTGCTCACATGGTTCTATTATGTAGCTCATTTCATCACCACAGAACTTCACTACATCCACTTCCCAATATCTGTCTTTTTGCCTTGAGTTTACTGTGTCTTTGTGTGTTTCAGGTACCCTCCGTCCTCACGGCAGACGTCCCATGAGGAAGGAAAGGAGTGGTTGAGGTCCCATTCAACAGGGGGGCTTCAGGACACAGGCAGCCAGTCCCCGCTGTCTCCACCTGGAGCTTCCTGCACCACCACTGGAAAATACCACTACTCCAACCTGCGTAAGTCTATAGGAATACACTCGAACTGTAGCAAATCTGGAATAGATCATTGAGTAATAGTACAGTATGTCCATGGCCAGTGAATATCCAGTTTTTGTATTTTATCTTAGTGATTTTACTTGGCCATGTAAATATGATGGCAATCTCACAGCCAAGAGTGTATAAAGTAGAGTCTATAAAACTGGCCCTTGGCCATTGTTAATGATCAAGAATACTTCTGATTTTAGACAAACTTAAATAAACCAAATGTTCCAAAAATAATCATTTGAGTGAGCAAAATAGTTATGCAATCAAAGTGGATCTCTGATACATGCAGTTATTCTCAGAGCTTGAATTCAAACATCACAGACATAACGGAACCAACAAGGACCAACAGATGATGAAAACAAAGGCACCTAAAGCCAAATGATCCCACACAGTGTGGCCCACACACCTTTTTTAGTGACTTGTTGCACATGTGCAGTGTTCACTCTGCATCTGTTACTTTGCAGTTTAGAATAAAATTGGTTTCAGCAGTTTTTTGTATTTTTCATGACTGATATGTATGATTAAATAAAACATTTTCCATGCAGTGATTAAAAATATCTTACAGTCCTGAAATATTCATAGCACATCTGCAACATTAGTCGATCACGTCTAGCAGTAAATGGGTTCTTATTTCCTGCATGAATGAGTGATCACTGATGCATTTTACACATGCAAAAATAACTAATCAACACTGATCCTTTTTCCTCTGTGCAGTGAGCCCCACTAACATCAGCCAGTATAACCTGCCACCAGGCAGCAGCAGCATGAGCCGCTCCAACAGCATCCCTGCCCAGGACTCCTTTGACCTGTACGGAGAGGGTCACCCACTGGGTGGCAGCGCAACCTCCCTGGAGGAACGACCACGGGCCATCAGCCGCTCCGGCTCCTTCAGGGACAGCACTGACGAAGGTAGGACACACTCTGGGACCCTCTCTTAAACACACTCTTTAGGTGTACTGTGGTCTCTGAAAATGACCTGAAAATGCAGAGTGGGTCGTCCCCCAATCAGAAGGTTGTTGGTTCGATCCCCGGCTCCTCCTGCCACTTGAGCAAGATACTGAACCCCAAATTGCTCCTGATGCATAGCATCGGTGTGTGAATGTGTATGAATGAGTTAGTTTCTGTTCGATGGACTTTGCCATCGAAGGTTGAATGTGGCAACGAGTGTATGTGGCACGTAGTGGTAAAAGCGCTTTGAGTGGTCGGAAGACTAGAAAGGCGCTATACAAGTACAGGTCCATTTACATCTAAAAAATAATATTCTACTATCTGGTCATTCATAAATATCTGAAATATACTTAAAATTGTCAGGATTCTAGCAAATTTGACCGGTGGAAATGTGCTTGTTCTTTCATCCTTTTCTGCTACTGAGCATCTCTTCCTCCCTTTAGTTCCTTGCTCCCTCCCTCCAGTCCTCCTCACCAGCTGTTAAATCCAGTGGGTCTCAGGTGTCTCTCCAGCTCCTCCTGGCTCCTCTTGCAGGCCTCCATGTTGAGGTACTTGAAGATGTGGTATTTGCCCTTGGAGCAGATCTGCGCAGGTGGCATTTGCAGCGGGTTGTTGTCCAGTGAGATGCTCTGGAGATGGCGGAGGTGGCGGTAGCACAAGGGCACATGGGAAATACGGTTGCAGGACACGTCGAGCCGGACAAGGGGTAGCTCGGATATTTCTGAATGATGCAAAGAGAGGGGAATATATTATATATAGTGTCATTTGGGCCTCAAATTGTTAGTACTACATAGTTCAGTTTCAGTGCTGGCTTGGTTAATTAAAGTCATTGTTGACACTTATTATCGTTCTAATAGTTATTTCTGTCGTTTCTGAACTGACAGCTATACTCTTTTCAATTCCTACACTTTAGCTGAAACTTTAAACTTGAAACCCTTTTCGGTTACAGGTTTGACAGCAATTATTATTAGTATTAAGAAAACTATGAAAAGTCACATTTAACAATCGGCAACAATATACCGTAACACTACTTTTAACTTCATTACGGTAAACAAGCAAGCTAGTGGTGTAAGATCCATTAGGCTGAAGGCTAATAGGCAGAAGCAGTTCAATACTTTGACATGTTAACAATCGATAGCTCACAGTAATGATGCAATTACTGTGTGACTTGTTGAGATTCTACATTAAAATC